ATATAAAAAAAAATATTTTTCTAACACAGGAATTTAAAAATAAAAAATTTCAATTAAACAGAAAATAAAGAATTATATATATATATATATATATATATATATATATATATATATATATATATATATATATATATATATATATATATATATATATATATATATATATATATATATATATATTAAAAAAAATTTCTAACACAAGAATTTAAAATATTTTTCATTACTAGTCCTCTCAATTATTGCCACGTCTTATTAAAAAGAATAGAAAATAAAAAAAGAAAAAGAAACAGATAAGGAAAACAAAAGCAGCAGCTTTCGATTCTCCTTCTTTTTCGTTCACACGTTTCGCCGAACCTAGCCGCGCTCTCAGGCGCTCCGTCCTTCATCCGCTCCGAGTCAAACCTCTTTCGTTCACACCCTCCGCCGTGTTCTTCGTCACTCCGTCCAACTGCCACGCCGTGTTCATCGTCCACGTCGTCGTCCGTTCGTCGTTCGCCGTCCAACTGCTTTCGTCCAAGTCGTCTGCCGTCCATGTCGTTCGTCGTCCACATCGTCCAAGTCGTCCGCTGTGTTTGTATGTATTTCTGCATTTATATTGAGGGGACCTCTTAGCCGTTTCCGTGATGGAAAATGACGTAGCTAGGGACGACGAGTCCAGATTCCATAATCCAATTTTGAGCGCGCTGGACTCCAAGTTGGGCGGGTTATTAGCTGAAGCCTCGTTCGAAGAGGACTTCGCCGGAAAAGTTGGACAGTCAATGGTTCTCCGAATTACAGCTGGAATTGGATCCAAGAGAGTCGCCTTGCTTGGCCTCGGAGCTTCTGCTTCTAGTCCGGCCGCCTTTAAAGGCCTTGGTGAGGTTGTTGCTGCAGCTGCTAAGTCCGCTCAGGCTGTCCACGTCGCTGTCGTTTTAGCTTCTTCTTCTCAAGGACTCTCTTCCCTTAACACTGCCTCTGCAATCGCCACTGGTATTTCTCTTCTACTTAGATACAGTTTCTAGTTTAATTTTATTCTCTAAACTTATATATCAAGTATTTTTCTTTTTATGAGTTTGTGGGAGTTAATAAAATATACAAGTTAGTTGGTTAATGTTAGAATTAACTTAATAAACTTCAACATTTTTTTATTATTATAGAGAGGGTCGAGGCCCAAAAGAAAGAAAACTAAAAAACACACTCTATAGAGCTTAAAATTCCTAATTCTATATCTCTAATAATTTACATAAATCTTAAGGTGTTTAGCAGAAGTATTGAATGGTATTCTTTTCATCTTTATTCACTTCTTTCTGGAACTGAATGGTATTCTTTCTGATGATGCTGACTTGGTTGAAGCTCTAAAAGTTGTTGAAAATCTACTATCAAGCTAATGAGGTATTTTCCTGATGAGAATGGTTTCTATTAGTTTCTTGACAATAATGGAAGGTATGTGTATGAGGATAGAATTGTAGAGCCGAAATAAGTTTTGTCAAAAAGGAAGAAGTTAGTGTGTATTTCTGATCATGTTGGTACATCATTTGATTTGTCTTCATTGCTTGATGGTTTATTGTTTGCTAGCGCTAATTAAATCCTACTTTGATGAATAGTTTAGCAAGATTCTAGTTAATTCCCAGGCCTTAGAATCTTGTATTCATGCTCATATTATTTTGGTTGAAAGGGAAGCCAAGGCAAGGGAAGATAAGATCAGAGAGGAAATTAATTAGTAGTACTACATTTTCTTGAATTAAAATTAATTACATGAAATTGTTTTTTAGGAGTAGTAAATTTATTTTGTTATTTGAATATGTATATGGCAATTGTAGTAACAGATTAGTAAAAGGGACATGACGGATATTGGGTAGATATTCTGTCAATTGTAGTAGCAGATTAGTACCAGACGAAATTCTATTCAATTTCTTTCACAAGGTTGATGGAAAATGATGGAAAAGATTACATAAACACTTTCACAATTTCAATCAATATAAATATTACAGTACTCCCATGTTAATGTTTTTTTTTCTGATGTGCAAGTAGGTTTCTTATTTTGATCTTGATCTTTGTAACTCATAATTGTGTACATTTCACATGTGGCTTTTCACACAATTTACTTGCATTCTGTTTTGGTTGATACTTGTGGGATTTTGGATCGAACTCTAGTTGGTCGAAGTACTTGCTGTAGTCGAAGAAGGTTCTAGCATGTATTTGTCGAAGGATGCTTGTTAAATTAGGTTTTAGTGTTTAAACCCTAATTTGTTAAGTTAGCTTGATTGTTAAGTTAGCTTGTATAATGGGCCTTGTGGAAAAAGCCCATTAGTTAGTATGTTAGGTTTTATTATAAATAGCATACTAGTCTCTCATCATTGCCATCACAGCAAATCCTAATTTAGGGTGAGAGGGTTATTTGTTATTCTTGTAAACTTGTAATCTTGTTTTCTAAGAGAAAGTAAAGAATAACAGTTATAACCAATTCTTGTGTTCTTCCTCTTCCTTGTTCTTTATTCTTCCCTTAATTCTATACTTTATTATTGGCATTGAATTCACAACAAATTGGTGCGGTGAGCGTGGAGAAGATGCCTTCGACAAAGTATGAGATTGAAAAGTTCACCGGAGTGAATGATTTCGGTCTATGGCGCTTGAAGATGAAAGCCCTACTGGTTCAGCAGGGTTGTTTGGAAGCGTTGAAGGGAGCGACGGCGATGGACGCTGCGCTAACAGAAAGAGAGAAGACGGCCATGATCGAGAAAGCACACAGCGCAATTTTGTTGAGCCTTGGTGATAAGGTTCTTCGACAGGTATCGAAGGAGACGACGGCATCAGGGTTATGGGTGAAACTTGAAAGTTTGTATATGACCAAATCTCTGGTAAATCGACTCTACCTGAAGCAAGCTTTGTATTCATTCAAGATGATTGAAGACAAAGTGCTGGCTGAGCAGTTGGATATGTTCAACAAGCTGATTCTTGATCTTGAAAACATTGATGTAAAGATTGATGATGAAGATCAAGCGCTGTTATTATTGTGCGCTTTGCCCAGATCACATGCTCACTTCAAAGAAACCCTCTTGTATGGAAGAGAGTCCCTGACCTTTGAAGAAGTTCAATCAGCTTTGTACTCTAAGGACTTGAACGAACGTAAGGAGCATAAACCTTCGACGGTTGGTGAAGGTTTGGCTGTTAAAGGAAAATTCGACAAGAGGAAAGGTAAAAATCAGTCGAAGTCTTATAGTGGTGACACATCTGGTATTAGATGCTATCACTGTAAGAAAGTAGGTCACACAAGAAAGGTGTGCCCTGAACGCCTGAAAGATCATGGAGGTAAGGATAATGGCAATGCAGCTATTGTCCAAGATGATTTCGAATCATCTGATGTTCTTGTGGTTTCAAGCAAAAACTCATCGAAGGAATGGATTATGGATTCTGGATGCACTTGGCACATGACTCCAAACAGAGACTTGTTCGAGGAATTATGTGATCAAGATGGTGGATCTGTATTGCTGGGAAACAACAAAGCTTGCAAGATTGCAGGCGTTGGATCTGTGAGATTCAAGCTCCATGATGAGTCAATAAGATTGTTGACTGAAGTCAGGTATGTACCTGATTTGAAGAGAAACTTGATTTCTCTTGGTGAATTCGACAAGAAAGGATATGTGTTTCAAGGAGAGAAAAGTATCCTGAGAGTCATGAAAGGGTCGAAGGAAGTCTTGAGAGGCGTGAAGAAACAAGGCTTGTATACCCTTGAGGCTGAAGTTGTAAGTGGTTCGACAAATGTTGCTTCCACGAAACCTTTGTCGAAGACAGAAATTTGGCACATGAGATTGGGCCATGTCAGTGAAAGGGGTCTGGTCGAATTAGGGAAACAAAATCTGCTTGGTGGAGATAAAGTCGAAAAGCTGAAGTTTTGTGAACCCTGTGTACTTGGAAAGTCTTGTAGAATGAAGTTCAACAAAGGCAAACAAAGAACACATGGATCCCTTGATTACATCCATGCTGACCTTTGGGGGCCTGCAAGGTGTCCATCACATTCAGGAGCAAAGTATTTTCTATCCATAGTAGATGACTATTCCAGAAAGTTATGGGTATTCATCCAGAAGACTAAGGATGAAACTTTTGAGAATTTCAAAAGTTGGAAGACTCTTGTCGAAAATCAAACTGGCAGAAAGGTAAAGAGATTGAGAACCGACAATGGCCTTGAGTTTTGCAATGAGGCGTTCGACAGTTTTTGTGTTGCCTCTGGTATTGCAAGGCACAGAACTACCGCAGGTACTCCACAACAAAATGGTTTGGCTGAAAGGTTTAATCGAACTATTTTGGAGAGAGTTAGATGCATGTTGACTAGTGCGGGATTAAAGAAGGTGTTTTGGGCTGAGGCTGTTTCGACAGCAGCATATCTGATAAACAGATGTCCTTCGACAGCGTTAGATATGAAGACACCTGAAGAAGTTTGGTCGGGACATCCACCAGATCTCGACAAACTAAGAGTATTTGGCTGTGTAGCCTATGCTCACATTAGGCAAGACAAGGTCGAACCTAGAGCTCTGAAATGCATGTTTATGGGATACCCTGAAGGAGTGAAAGCTTATAGGCTATGGTGCCTAGAGCCAGGTCACAGGAGGTGTATCACCAGTCGAGATGTAGTTTTCAATGAAACTGAAATGGCTTTCAAGAAAACTGATGATGTTGACGAAGAGCTGGAACAGGTATAGATTCCTGTTGAGGTGGAGCATGTTGATGCTGAAATGCGTATCCCAGATGAAGTCGAAGAAGAAACAGAAGATTCTGATGATGTTGAGGAAACTGTTGATGACTACCTATTGTCGAGAGATAGGCAAAGAAGAGTCATAAAACCACCTCAGAGACTTGGATATGCAGATCTTGTAGCTTATGCCTTAATCTCTGCAAGTGAAGTTCTAGACGAAGAACCTAGAGATTATAAGGAAGCTATAAGGAGTCGAATGAAGACTGAATGGCTAAAGGCCATGCATGATGAGATGAAATCTCTTCATGATAATCACACTTGGGAACTGATCATGAAACCTGTTGGGGCAAGGTTAGTCAGCTGTAAGTGGATTTTCAAAGTTAAGGAAGGAATTGAAGGAGTAACGTCGAAGAGGTACAAGGCAAGATTAGTCGCAAGGGGTTTCACTCAGAAAGAAGGTGTCGACTTCAATGATGTATTTTCCCCTGTTGTGAAGCACAGATCCATTCGAATGTTGCTTGCCATGGTGGCTCAGTTCGACCTTGAACTGGAACAAATGGATGTGAAGACTGCGTTCTTGTATGGTGACTTAGATGAAATAATCCTGATGAGGCAACCTGAAGGGTATGTCGAAAAGGGGAAAGAAGATTATGTGTGCAAACTGAAGAAATCTTTATATGGACTTAAACAATCTCCTCGACAGTGGAATAAGAGATTCGACAAGTTCATGGAACACATAGGTTTCATTCGAAGTCAGTTCGACCATTGTGTTTACTCCAGATTTCGACCTGAAAATTCATTTGTAATTTTGTTGCTTTATGTTGATGATATTCTGATAGCAAGCAACAATGTCGAAGATGTAATGAGGGTGAAGGCTGAACTCAATAAGGAGTTCGACATGAAGGATCTGGGAGCTGCATCTAGAATTCTTGGAATTGACATTCGAAGAGATAGAAAGCAGTCGAAATTATGCTTATCTCAAGAGGCATACCTACGAAAGATTCTTGACAAGTTTGGTATGTCGAATTCAAAGCCTGTTGTGACTCCAACAAACCCTCAATTCAAGCTGAGTATTGATCAATGTCCCAGTACTGATGTCGAAAGAACCTATATGGATAGCATCCCATATGCTAATATAGTTGGTTCTTTGATGTATGCTATGGTCTGTACTAGACCCGACATAGCATATGCAGTAAGTCTTGTAAGCAGGTACATGGCGAATCCTGGAAAGGCTCACTAGCAAGCGTTAAAGTGGATTCTAAGGTACATAAATGGGTCTCTGAACAGAGCCTTAATTTATGGTGGAGCCTTGGGTGAAGATAGTAAAGCAGCTGTCGAAGGCTATGTTGACTCTGATTATGCAGGCTGTATGGATTCCAGAAAATCTATTTCTGGATATATTTTCACTATGTTTGGTACAGCAATTAGTTGGAAAGCAACTCTTCAAAAGGTTGTTGCCTTATCAACTACTGAAGCAGAATATATTGCCCTAACTGAAGCTGTGAAAGAAGCATTGTGGCTTGAAGGTTTTGCAAAGGAACTGAAACTTCAAGGTCAAGGTATCACTGTTAAATGTGATAGTCAAAGTGCAATACACCTGTCGAAGAACTCAGCCTATCATGAGCGAACCAAGCACATAGATGTGAGGCTGCATTTCGTCAGAGGGGTAATCGAGCGTGGAGAAGTCCAAGTGCTGAAGGTCTCGACAGAACACAATGCCGCTGATATGATCACCAAAACATTGCCAAGTTGCAAGTTTTTCCACTGTATGCAGTTGATAAAGCTGCATGAAGAAAGCTAGTTAGTGTCTCTTGATGCTGTAGAGTTAGGTCCAAGGTGGAGATTTGTGGGATTTTGGATCGAACTCTAGTTGGTCGAAGTACTTGCTGTAGTCGAAGAAGGTTCTAGCATGTATTTGTCGAAGGATGCTTGTTAAATTAGGTTTTAGTGTTTAAACCCTAATTTGTTAAGTTAGCTTGATTGTTAAGTTAGCTTGTATAATGGGCCTTGTGGAAAAAGCCCATTAGTTAGTATGTTAGGTTTTATTATAAATAGCATACTAGTCTCTCATCATTGCCATCACAGCAAATCCTAATTTAGGGTGAGAGGGTTATTTGTTATTCTTGTAAACTTGTAATCTTGTTTTCTAAGAGAAAGTAAAGAATAACAGTTATAACCAATTCTTGTGTTCTTCCTCTTCCTTGTTCTTTATTCTTCCCTTAATTCTATACTTTATTATTGGCATTGAATTCACAACAATACTTTATTACGTGCATGATGCGGTTCGCGCAATGTTAGCTTAGTTTCTTTTGAATTGTCACTGTTAAGGTGTTCATGTATATGTGTGTTGTTGTACGGTGTTTTACGGTTTGGTGTTGTTTAGTTTGGACAACATAATTGTGTATGTATTAGCCACAAGAGAACTCTCCTTTAAATTGGACAGCATATATAATTGGACAGCATAATTGTTTTACGATTTTACTGTGAGCAAATGTGTGCCTTGTTCGCATATTTTCTGCAAGTATGTATCACGGCCCGTGTTTATTTCTTATCATTGCATACATTGTTTTTGGATGGTTTCTGATTTGATGTGTGTATGATGTTAGAGCATGTATATCGCGTTTTGAGGACTGTCCGTTATGTGGAGCTGATATTGTGAAGATTGAGCCCGATGACAATCTTCAAGGTGTAGTCGATCGCTTTATTGAAGGTCATGCTAGGATCAAAAGGTATGTTAATTTAGACAAAGGTGAAGAAGCAGCAGAAAATAATAAGCCTGTCATATACGTGTCTTTGGAAAGAGGTTCTTTCTTAGTGTAAATGTGGATGAAGTCTTGTATATGAAGGATTAAATTGAGAAAGAATGAATGATCCTTGATTTTTTTGTCATAATTAATAACTATTATCATCCACAATGTAAATGGTCACAAGTCTTAATTAAGTGACTATGCTATAAGAGCTTATCATTTAAGTGCTTGTTTAAAAACGATTTCTATAACAAAAATTAAAATGAAGTCAAAATGTTTTTATGTAAGCTATAAAATGTTTATCTGGGTATGGCATTGTTGATGGGAACGTTAGCTCTGCCAAAGCTCATGCTTTTTGTTTTACTTTGTTTATGTTATACTTTTTCTGGCCACTTGATAATGAGCATTTTACCATATGAAATTCAAAAACAGGCATTCCGTGCTCAGAATTTAGAAAGTGCCAAATCAAGACTTAGCCTATGTGCAGAAGACGTTCATAGTCAGATTGAAAAAGTTGGTAACACTTCAGAGTTATGTTCACAACTTGGAGCAGTCTTGGGTATGCTTGGTGACTGATGGTATGTAATAGGATATTTTCATTGTGTTTTATGATAAGATATTGTGTTTAGTGAAATATGGAAAACATTTCTACTTAGAGGAATTTATCTGTCAGGACGACAAACGTGCCAATAGCCCAGTTTAAGAGTCTTTGTGCTTATTGGAGTAAGGAAACTATACAAGTAAGATTAATAATTTTTTTATGTATGTGTGTGAATTTACACCTTTCTATGTATGCCATAATTAAGTAATATTTATTAGAATAATTCTGTCAAATTTAAATGTAGGCAATCAGTGAAAATAACACTAGAAATAGAGCTCAACTAAAGTGGATGCATCGAATGGGTCCCAAAAACTTTGCTTTGACTCGTGAAAAAGTGGTAACTTTCTTTTGTTCTCAATAAATTATTCCTTGTATGAATGTTTCTTTGTTCAATTAAAGTATTCGTGAAAAACTTTTCTTTGACTCGTGAATAGGAATTTTAATTCACATAATTTGTTATGGAATTATTTTGATTTGTGTAGCGTGAAAAGGAAAAAAGAGAGCCCACTCAATCAGAAATGTTTGTTGAAACTCGAAAAGGAAATAAAGGAAAGGAACTGGATGTAGAAACTGGAAAAGTAATTGTATGTAACATTGTTTATATAAAACGTTTGCTTAATATAATCGGCCAACATTGTCTATAATAGTAGCTAATATTGTCTATAATAGGACGACATAAATGATAAAATTCAAGAGGACGACCTAAATGATAAAATTCAAGAGGATGACGTAGATGACGAATTTCAAGAGGACGACATAGATCTAGATGATGAATTTCAAGAGGAGGATATAGATGGTGAATTTCAAGAGGACGACGTAGATGAAGAATTTATGGAGGATGACATATCTAACGAATTTCAAGAGGACGATCTGGATGCTTTACTCCTAGAAGACAAACTTGAATGAGTTGGATGATGTCTTTTTTTTGGCTTGTAGTTGAAAGCATTAAACTTGAAATATGATTTTTGTTCTTTTGCTGAACTATGTTTTTAGTTATTTTACTAGGGTCATACTTCAAAGTATTAAAAGTAATATTGTTACGTTAGGCATTTTGTGTACTCTATATACTATATCTTGAATTAAAGTTTGAACTCAATTTTATTATATTACAACTTTTATGGATGTATGGTTTAAGTTATATAATCAATATTATTTTTGAAGCCAATTATTATTGACTATATTATTTTGATAATAATTGCAAAATTATATATTTTATATGGACACTATAAAACAACAACCTATAAGCTATGGCTACACTTCAAAAACGATCTTCCTGATTCAGGTTTAAGGCAACGATTGTTAATTGTAGCCGAATTTGGCAACGCAACGCTTAAAAAACGTTGTCTCAGAGGCCGTAAATAATCGTCCCCTATTCCTTTACTATAGGCGACGTTTTTCAAAAGCGTTCCCAAAAAACATAAAAAAACGTCGCCTCAAACAATAGGCAACGCTCGCACAGGAGACGCCTAGAAAACATCCCGTATTGTTTTAGGCAACGATTTTCAGAGTTCTGGCAACGTTTTTCAATTGTTGCTGGAGAGCCTAAATGTTGTAGTGAATATTATAAAACATAAAGAAGCGTTAGAACATTCAATTGGATCAATGGGGGTTTTGTGCTTGTGGAGAAGATAGAGTGGGAAAATAAGAGAGTTAGAGTGAGAGAGAGAGAGAGAGTAATTGAGGGTGAGATGAGGAAATTTCATTAGCTTTTAACATTACAACATTGAGACTATTTATACAAGCTAAACATAATAGTTGGGATCTAAAACAACTTAGAAATAAGCTAAAAAACCCAAAATACGAGTTTGTAACCGGTTACGCAAAACCCTGTAACCGGTTACGCCTGCGACAAAACACTAAAAACATAATTGAATTGGCCTGTTGTAACCGGTTATGTCAAAACTCGTAACCGATTATAGTCATGATAAAATCAATTCCTGCTCTCTAGAAGTGCTTATTTTTTAAGATGTAATCTCCAATTAGCTTCCAGAAGCTAATAACATGCATTTGAATTATTATAAACATGCAATACACCATCTTAATTCAAATGCTCCAAGTTCTCCATGTCCATGCTCATTTTCAATCTCTTGAACACATCATCTATGATTCCCTTTGTCACCAAATCAACAACTTGGTCTTCACTTCTACAATATCCCAACCTTAGCTTGCCTTCACTTACCATTTCCCTCAAGTAGTGAAACCTCATCTCAATGTGCTTGCTCATGCCATGTGAAATAGGGTTCTTAGCAACATTAATAGCCGAAATGTTATCAATCAAGAGTGTGACAACCTCACCCTCATTGTTGCCTAGCTCCTGCAGTAAATTCATCAGCCATACGGCTTGACACGCACATAACAACACAAAAATATACTCGACCTCACAAGAAGAGAGTGAAACCACTGGTTAATTTTTAGAATACCAAGATATTGGTGCTTCTCTGAACTTAAAGATGTAACCGATTGTAGGATTTCGATCATGTTTATCTTTGCACCAATTGGAATCGGTGAAACTGAGAAAATTGAATTTTATGCTCGTATCCACTGCGGGAAAGAGAATTATGTAGCCAATAGACCCTTTGAAGTATCTTAGGATTCTTTTGCTATTTCCAAGTGAGACACCTTCGGCCTCTCCATGAATCTGCTCGTAATACTGACACTAAACGCTAAATTTAGTCGCGTATTGCACAAGTAACGTAACGACCCAATTAATCTCCTATGTTGAGTAGGATCCATATTGCTCATCCTTACTTTTGGACAGCTGCAACCTTGCTTCAGCTGGTGTTATGTCAATATTAAAATGCTCCATATCACACCTTTCAAGATTTCAAGAGCATATCTCCTTTGATGCATGACAGTCCCATTTTTGACTTATGGAACTCTATATCAAGGAAGTATGTCATAATCCCAAGGCCACTCTTCTCGAATTCTTTCATAAGCTCACTCTTGAACATTTAATACTTTTCTCATTACTGCATGTGATCAATAAATCATACACATATAGATAAAGTATGATCACACCTTCAATTTCATCCGACTTCATATAAACTCCTTGCTCGAACACATATTTCTTGAAGCCAACATCAACTAGGAAACCATCTATCTCTTTGTTACAAGCTCTCGGAGCTTGCTTCAAACCATATAATTCTATTCTCAACTTGTATAACCTATCCTCTTGATTCTTTACAACAAAACTAAGGGGTTATTCTACATATACCTCTGCTTCAAGCGAACCGTTCAAAAATGTGAATTTTGATAGATCGACCAATTATTATTATTTGCAATACCAACAACTAGCCGTATGGTTTCAAGTCTAGTAATCGGTGCAAACACTTCATTGAAGCATTTACATTTTCTTTGTAAAAATCCTTTCGCTACTAATCGAGTCTTATGCTTGATTATCTCACCTTTGAGATTTTCCTTCACTTTATAGACCCATCTCACACGAATTAGCTTCTTACCTTTAGGAAAATTAACCAACTCTCGAGTATTGATTTTCTCAATCGATTCTAGCTCCTCTTTCATTGCACACACCTATTTTAGATCACTTAATGCCTCCTCCGTGTTAACGGGCTCAAATTTGGAAATAAGCGCAAAGTGAACGAAAACACCATCATCATTGATCTCATTATCCCAAAATACTTCACAATCTTGGAGTCTCTTAAGAAAACCTCTTTGCCTAGTTGGTCGTCTACTATTTTCCATGACTCCGGCTTTGACATGTTGTTGTTATGTACCTCCTGCAACTTGAGAATTGGAAATTTCGTGCCTGTAATTGGTTATAGGATTCTGGTAATCAGTTATGCCTTCTACAAAACCAAATCTAGCTGTTTGGGAATCCAAAAATTTGCGCTCGCTGTAACCGATTATAACACCTGCCAAAACAATTTTTCTGCTATCAAAACACTTTAGTTTGTCGACCATGACATCTCGAATGATCATGATATTCTTGTTTGCAACATCAAACAACTTATAACCTCTTGTAGAATGATAACCAACAAGTATCATTATCTCACCTTTATCACCGAACTTCTTTTGAAGCTAACCCTGAATGTATCGAAATACTACCGAAAGGAAAACCTTCAAATGAATCAAGCTTGGTTTAAATCCAAAACATACCTTTTATGGAGTTACTTTATCAAACTTTTTTGTATGGTACCTATTCAACAAATAGGTAGCTATAAAAATGGCTTCACCCCATAGCATCTTCGACACATATTTTCCCTTTAACATGCTTCTAACCATGTTCATGGTCAATCGATTTTTTCTCTCAGCAACACCATTCTTCTATGGTGTATAGGGTGGCATAACCTCATGCATTATCCCCTCTCCATCACAATATTTCCCAAAATCATTTGAGGTATACTCGCTTCCATCATCCATTTTGAGAAATTTGAGTTTGTGACCGCTTTGCAGCTCAACCATGGACTTAAAATTCTTAAACACATCTTATACCCCATCCTTTCCCTTAATTAAGCATGTCTATAGCTTTCTACTAAAATCATCGATAAAAGTGACAAAATACCTATTTCCACCTTACAAATCAACTTGCATTGTCTCACACACATCAGAGTACACCACCTCAAGTTGATGCTTGGTTATATGACCTACATCCTGGCTGAACTTATTCTTTTTTTGCTTCCCTTGCATACACTCTTCACAAATCTCAAATGTATTTTTAATCGATGGCAGTCCAGTTACAATACGATTCCTTTCTAATGCGTCGAGGTGTCAAAAATTGAGATGCCCAAGACGGTATTGCCAGAACCACTCATCTCGACTTACCACTTGTTGTACCCCAATTTTTTCCTCTAAGATCCCTACATCATCTCATATCAACTCAATCATAACAAGATCACACTAGGGTTTGCTTCTTCTCCCTATCTTTAAGTTTTCTCATGACGAATCACTAAGCACCTTGACTTGTATATTGTGATCATCTAAGTTTTGTATTGATTAACTTTTAACTAATAAATACAATGAATGTTTGTCCTAATGGATGATATTATAGGTGAAAGCACAACATATTTAATTAGGTTGATCTATAGGTTCATGAGTTTATTTCCATGCCTTCTTCAACAAGATTTCATTGAGGATCAAACTTCATCATTGAAGATGATTTGAAGTGACATCATGACAAGGTCTACTATAATTCATCATGCCTTAATTTGTCAAATAATGTCAAAGGATGCAAAAGTTGATTGAAACGTTTTGACCTAATTGAACAAGTTCTTGATTTCTTGATCACAAGTGCACAATTCCCTCAATTAATAATATTTTGGAAGTGGTTATGGTTGCTATAGTTTCTTATTATCACCCTCAATAACTTCTATTTACAATAAAAATATATTTGTGCAAGAAAGTTTGTCAAATTTGAAAAGGGTTTCTAAGGCATTTTGTTGCTCTAGGAGCTAGGATTTTGAACTTCTAAGGGCTATATCTTGCTCATCTTTTGGTATTTTTTAGTGATTCCAAAGACATGCTCCTCTTTAAAGGATTATAAAAAAATCACTTCAAAAGTTTCAATAAAATTTTATGTGGAAGACGCCTAATGATTGAGAAAGATTACAAGTCCTCTAGATAGGCCATCAAATTCCCTTACCAGAATTCAAAAGATCATAACTTGGTCAATTTTTATCTCCTTGACCATGTTATTTTTCCATAATTATCTTAAAGATATGAAATTCAACCCTTCTTTTATATGCAAAGCTTGAAAATGGATGGAAGATGTCTTAAGGACTCAAAAGATTATAGGTCATCTCATGAATTTTCACCAAGTTCACCAAATCATAAATTTCTCATTTTTTGGAGATTTTAAATGGTTCAAGTCTTAAAATGTCATTCAAGGGGTCTACTTCATGCCATCTTTTTTGGTCAAGAGCAAATTTTAAATGGAAGACCATGTTTGA